TCTGGACAAAATAAAACAGCTGCTCATGATCTACATTACCTAGTTCTATGTAGGGGTTGTAGGTGGTTTTAGGGGTTACATACCAAATTAAAGAAGAAAATTAATGCAAAAGTAGTAGGGAAGAATGGGGAGAATGAAGAGATGGGGATTTGAATGCACCTTTGGAGAAAATACTTCTGGCCAGATTTTTGAAGGGAAGGGAAGAAGAAAGAGTTAGTGAGAAATCTTCAGTCAATGGAAACGCAGTGCATGAACGCACATCTTTTATTGGTAGATGTTGGAAGACCAGGAATACTATGATCTCAACAGAATAAGGTAGGTGAGAGCATGTAATACCAAAGGAGATATTTGAGGTGGGTGGAGTGAGACCATGGGGCAATTTGAAAGTGAAGGTGAAAACTTTAAAACCATGAGGAGAGGTGGTTGTTATAATTCTATAAGCCAGGTGGTGAAGGATAAAACTGGAGCTAATTTTTACACACTTTTATAAGCACTTATTTACAGTGATACACATTAAAAACAAGCATCTCCAACTCACCACCTACTGTTTCAGTTTAGATTTAGAATAGCAAAGGGCTACATTTAATACATTGGGGTATGAAAGTAAAGTACTCCAATATGAGAAGAAACTTTTTTTTGCTAACTATATATGTATATTATTTTCTCAAAGTGACATTCGGTTGATCGAAGTAACTGAAAACATTTGTAACCGATTGCTGGAATATAATTTACACAAAGAGCGAAGTGGGAGTAATCGCTTTGCCAAGGTAAGTACTGTTGAGTCTGTCCTTTGATAAAGGGGTGAGGGAAAGCTGTTTTATTCCAGATTTTGCTGGTTCTTGGTGCCATTCTGGACCTTGTGTTTGATATATAGTGGCATTCATATTGAAGGATCTTTGCTTGCGACAAAGTGACTGCAAATATATTCAGTCACAGCTCATCATTGACTTTGTCTTTTGTTCTTGGAATTTGGGTGACATGCCACAAGAACATTTATTGCCCATCTCTATTTGTCTTGACAAGCTGGCGGCAGTACTTTCTACTGAAACAAGTGCAGTTTTGGTGCTGATGTTCCTCCTGTGGTGTTTGGTAGAGTCATAGAGCTGTACAGCATGGAAACAGATCCTTCAGTTCAACTCGTCCATGCCAACTAGATATCCTGAATAAATCTAGTCCCATTTGCCAGCATTTGGCCCATATCCCTCTAAACCCTTCCTACTCATGTACCCATCCAGATGCCTTTTAAATGTTGCAATTGTACCAGCTTCCACCATTTCCTCTGGCAGCTCATTCCATTTTGGCACCACCTTTTGTGTGCAAAAGTTGCCCCTTGGGTCCCTTTTAAATCTTTCCCTTCTTACCTTAAACCTATGCCCACTAGTTTTGAACTCCCCCACCCCAGGGAAAACACCTTGTGTATTAACTATACTTTCTATATTCATATCCAAATCATTTACATAAATGACAAAAAGCAGTGGACCCAGCACTGATCCTTGTGGCACACCGCTGGTCAGAGGCCTCCAGTCTGAAAAGCAACCTTCCATCATCACCCTCTGTCTTCTATCTTCGAGCCAGTTCTGCATCGAAACGGCGAGTTCTCCCTCTATTCCAGGTGATCGTTTATAGAATCCCTACAGTGTGGAAACAGGCCATTTGGCCCGACAGGTTCACACCAACCCTCCGAAGAGCATCCAACCCAAACTCGTTCCCCCTACTCTATATTTCTCATGGCCAACACACCTAACCTACACATCCCTGGGCCCTACGGGGCAATTTAGCATGGACAATCCACGTAACTTGCAGATCTTTGGACTGTGGAAGGAAACCGGCACACTTGGAAGAAACCCATGCAGACACAGGACGAATGTGTGATCTCGGGTCCCTGGCGCTGTGAGGCAGCAGTGCTAGCCACTGTGCTGATCTAACCTTACTAACCAGTATACCATGAGGAACCTTGTCGAATGCCTTACTGAAGTCCATATAGATCACGTCTACTGCTCTGCCCTCATCAATCCTCTTCGGTACTTCTTCAAAAAACTCAAACAAGTTAATGAGACACGATTTCCCACACACAAAGCCATGTTGACTATTTCTAATCAGTCCATGCCTTTCCAAATACATGTGAGAATGTCATTAATTTGATCCAGCGTCAATCAAGGGCTTATTGAACTCTGGGCCACCCGCTGGGGGTGTCATTGGTTCTTGGCTATGTTTTGGCTGCAGCCTGGTGGCATTCATTTAGGGGTGCACAGCACTACTTGCTAGTCATTGCCATCTCCAGTGTCCCCTCAGGCCAGGGTACAGTAGGGGTGCTCCTCTGAGCTGATTGCATGGCCTGGGGCTTCTCTGTGCCACCCCCACTCCCTGGCACAGGTGTTGGTCCTGGTTGGTCTTGGTGACTTCTTTCCTCCCCTCTCTTAGTGGTCCTGGGATATAGGAATTCCTGCAGCAGAGTATGAATCCTGCAGGTCCTGGTGGCTGTCGGAGGGTATAGTGACGGATGGCGGCAGTGGTCAGTCTGATGGTGACTGGTCAGTGGGGGCTCTGTGATGTAAGCACTGGGGTTCTGGGCACTGAAAGCAGCCTCAAATTGGACAGTAGGAGACTTTGCATCAGAATAACACCAATCGGGGTGACTAGGTGTGTGGTAAACAACATTCAAGGGAATCTTAGAACATTCAACAGGATTTCAGGCTGCAATAACTCAGTGACGTTAAATTGAAATATTGTTAAATGGGGCAGCGAGAAACACAGACTCCCTGCAGTCTATGGTGAAGGATGAACCACAAATAATTCTCAGTCAAAAGGCTCCTGCCTTAGATAATAAGATTAAGTTTATTACATCGCAAAATGTATACAGATCACATTAACAATGTTCTATTGCTACCAACGGGTAGGTTAGATCTCTGTTACAAGACTGGGACAGACTCCAGTTGCTGTCTACCTGAGCTGTCTCACATTGCCAAACTGCCGGATGCCCCATCCAATAGTTGAGTTATACATGAGAGAGCAGAGTTTCAACTTGGCCCAGATTAACCCTTTCATATCCATTACTGTATACAACAAACAAACAGTGGAGAGAAATCAGAGTGAATGTTTCAGGTGCGGTGATCCTTCCTGAGAATACTGATTTAGAGCATCCACAGTTCTTTTGGTCCTTGTATTCAGTTTCTTCTAAAGCTGAAAAACCAGACAGTTGCGTCACTTAACAAGATCAGAGATCAGTATTGGGTCAATGTCACAAAGTGATCTGTTACTCAGTGAGATGAATTATATCTACAGAGCAGCTAGTCATTTAACCAGTACCTTTGGCTGAATGTTAGCTGGAACATCTAGTAATACAAGGCCCTTGTTTTATGCTGTAAACTAAAAATTTCCTTTAGGTACTGAGAAACCGAGTGACTGAAGAAGCCCATAGACCACAAGAAACAGGAACAGGAGTAGGCCATTCAGCCCCGAGCCTTCTCTGCCATTTAATAGGATGGTAGGTGATCCCACACTCCTTGCATCCATTTTCCTGTCCTTTCCCTGTAACTCTTGATTCTCCAACTGATCAAAAAGCTCTGTATCTCAGTCTTAAGTATATACAAGAACTCTGCCCAAAGCTCTCTGTGGCAAAGAGTTCCAAAGACTCTCAATCTTCTGAGAGAAGAAATTCCTCCTCATCTTAGTCTTAAATTGGTGCACCTTTATTTTGAAACTATGCCCTCCAGTCCTAGATTCTTCCATGAGGGGAAATATCCTCTCATCATTTACCCTGTCAAGTCTCTTAAGAATCCTATAATGTTTCAATGAGATCACCTCTCATTCTTCTAAACTCCAGTGAGTAGAGTCTCAATGTGTTTAGTCTTTGCTGATAAGACAACAGGAACCGTCCAAGTGAACCTTTCCTGAATTGCTTCCAATGAAATGTTATCTTTCCATAAATAAAAGATCCAAAACTAGTCACAGTACTCTAGGTGTGGTCTCCCCGGCACCTTGTACAGCTGCAGTAAGACTTCCCTACTCTCATACTCCAAACCCTTGAAATAAGGCCTTACATTCCATTCGCCTTCCTGCTGACAAATTTACTGCTTTTTTGATTTTGTTTTAGGAAAGATGGCTAGGAGATCAGAATAACATGTGATACTGTATGAATACTCTAAAGAAAGCAATAAGCTAGAAACAATGGTCAAATGTATCTTTTATATTAAAAAATCAAGGAAAAATGGCACTGAGTGCAGAGTTACTAATGCTTTACATTGTTTCTTTCCAAACCAGGGAATGAGTGAGACATTCCAGACTCTCCATGGTCTTGTTCATAAAGGTGTAAAAGTTGTTATGGACATTCCCTATGAACTGTGGAATGAGACGTCAGCTGAGGTCTCGGATATGAAGAAGCAGGTATGCGGAGACCACTTCATCTGCAACTTGCAGACTGTGGGTGGAGGGAGTGATGGGTGGCAGATGTGGTACTGCTCCCCATGGAAAAATAACATCAAATACAAATATTTCCAATTCTTTTGATGTTTCATTGTGAAATGCACTGTCTGCCCTGAGACCAGGAATGCTCTGGATTTGTCATTTGATCTGGGCCTCGAGGACACAAAGGTGCTGCAAACAGGAGGGGAGAAATCAACCAGGATTCCAGTTCTTGATAACTTTCTGGTGATCTTTCCTGAAAGTGTGGACATTTATGTATGGTGACACCTTTTAGATTTGAACAGGCCTTTGGCACTTGCAGTTCAGCCTTATACATGGTCCTCTAATCAAGGTATTGGAGGATGCTCAACATCATTGAAACATTATTGTAGACTGAGTTAATGCCTTCAGGAAAGTAAGAGAAAATAGTAGGATTAGTTTTTTGTCTCAATTTTGACTTGTAATTAAGAATTGTAATCATAAAATGATGCCATTGTTTTCAAAATAGGCGGCAGTAGATAATTATGTTCTGACATTGCTCCATACAATGTTGTGAGATGTCATGGGTGCTTGAAAGCAAATCCAAATATCCCTAATATCCTTATTCTATTGACTTTGGCCTCCATCTGTCAGTATACTACGTAGTGACAAAAGATCTCTACGTATAGAATGCATACGAATTCGTTCAAAGGTAAATGCCTGTCTGAATTCCAAAATTAAATAACCAGCCGTTTTAATATAAAATTGTTTTTTTTAAGTTTTTGAGAAATATTCACGCAGTTTATCCGGGCACATTATTTTTGCTTTGGGTTGTGGCAGGGAGGGTACGGAATGGTCAATGAGGACCAGGCTGCGTACTATGAATGAGAGTCAGGAAATATGGGAGGAAGTACAAGGGTTGAGGATTCTAACCCTTAGGAGAAGCAGGAGGTGGAACAGCACTGAAAGGAGGTGGTAGCACATGTGGGGCAGGACTGGATTCTCTCACTCCTTTATAAGTAATTTGCAGTTGTTAAGCTCTGTGCTACAATACCGATTAAATCTAAAAAATATCTCGACTGCATTGTGCTTGTGAGACATTCTTCATAAAATGCCATTAACCGAGGAAATAAAAGATAATCAGGATACCAGTAGTACATCTGTACAGCTTTTTTGAGATTAGTTGGCAATGCAGATAAATATACTTTCCTTTTAAGCAGTGAAACTGTTGGTATTTGTCTAACTCCCAAGTATTTGTGTGTGTGTCTCTCTCTCTTTTATAACACAGTGTGATGTGATGGTGGAAAAGTATGAAGATGTTATTGAGGATTGGTATAAACATCATCAGGAGGAAGACCTCACCATGTTCCTCTGTGAACGGCATGTTCTGAAGGCCCATGAGACAGGTATAAACCTTTCTAACACTAGAAGTCCTGAAGACATGCACTGTGTTTAAACTACTTTGAATTTTTGCTGCAGATATAACAACCATAGAAGTGGCCATAGTAACCTCATGAAAGAATAAAACACTATTTCCCCACCTCTTTTGGATTGCTTTGGCATCTTTTGACAGTTAAAGGTATGGATACAGTTGTACTTGGAGTAACAGATCTATCTGCCAATTCTGTTAAGATGAAAGAGATAGGAAACTTATGACCCCAGCTTGTATTTGCTGGTTTGGACCATATTCCCTAATATAAAAGGTGGGGTTGAAGTGGCGTAGCTTTATCATTGGGATTGGAGACAAATGACATATTTGTTGGGACACATAAATGAAATAATTGCATTTTCACAGTGCAGCAATGCAATAAAGCATTTTTCTCCTCGATGTCAAATGTGCTAAAACTTGCAAAAGTAATTTGCCAAAGATTCAAGCACAAAAGTGCATCAATAATTAAAGCACTCATTTGAATCTATTTCAGAGTGTTTGAGGGAAATTTGGAATGGCCAGAAAGGGGACCCTGCAGTGATTGATGAGGAGAAGAAGAAGAAGAAGAAAAAAAAGAGAAAAAGTAAGAACAAAGAGGGTAAGGAAGGGGAAAGTAAGAAAGAGAAAAAAGGAAAGAAGAAAAAGAAACAAGAAGAGGACACTGATCAAGAAGGAGGAAAAGGCATGTCATCTGATGATGAGCAGACCCAACAGAAATCACCTCCATCCCACAGACCTGATGAACTGTAAAGACTGAAGAACTAGGCCAGAAAGTATTGATTCAGAACTGTGTATGAGAGCATTGCTGTTAAGTGGACAATAACTTAAACCCAGTGGATCATTTTCAGAATATGAATTTAAATAGCTTTAAATTAATCTGATACAGTAGGGGGAGAAAAGTTAGTTATCTGACTGTTGGTCTATCTATTTATACCTAATGATCCACTGCAACAACCCATTTTTTTTACTGTCCTTTCCTATTTCCAGTGACAATGATGTCGAATGATACACAGACTGTGTCTTCTGTTTGATTGCTTGAATTTAAGCAAGTTACTGTTGAGGTTTTTATGCTTGAATGCCACTACTTTGCCTTTTTAAGGGTATTTTAAAAATGTTCATTGGATACACAGTTCCAAAGTTGTGGGAACAGAAAAATCAATCTGTATCATACCTCTAGTAGTTTAGTCAGTAATGGGAAATTCATAATTAATTTTGTGTCAATTTTTCTTTGTAATTGGGTCTTGAAAGGTTAACAAAAAATGAGGTGTTTTGAGGTGGTAATAGTGTTTTGACATTGGATTGAGCAATGCTGTGAGGTGTGCTTTAAAACAAATCCAACGATTTCTCAATCATCAAAACACTGAAAGAGACCCAGAAGGAAGAACACACCAATGCTGAAATATAAAATCGATTTATAACTTTAAGGTTACTAGCTTTCAGTTTCAGGAAAAAGAAAGGAATTTAGAAATGCATCTCCTGTATAGATCTCAAAAACCACCTTTAAAAAAGTCCACTTATTTAGCTTCTATAACCGAATGGTTCTGTTTAATAGAATAATAGCTCCATTGTACATTAAAGACGAAGTTGTAGGTTTTCCATTTCTTTAGAAAGCGAAATGGGATTGCAAAATGATCTCTAAAAGGCATTTTTAAAAATTCTGGAATTCCATGTAATAAACTCAGAATTTGGTTTAGTCAGCCTAAATCAATGTCCCTCTAGCTTTAATTGATCTATACTGCTTCTGTAAAATTTCAGTTTTGTACAGATGACAAAAATATTTAATTCTTCCATATGCACCAAAGTGAATCATTGCTGAGCATTACAACTAAATAAAGACATGCATTCAGCAACAAATGGGTAACAAATGCTCATATTCCATGGATCAAAGTTTAAAAATTCTGTCAGCCAATTGGATTTAAATTGGCTGACTCCTTTCTTCTGTTAGGTGCAAAGTCGCATAATAAAACTCAGCAGGAAAGATAGAAAAAAATGTTCATTGTTTTAAAGTCGTAATTTCAATGCAGTAATCTGCTGTTGAGGTTTGCATGAGCTGAATAAAATAATTCACTCTCATTAATCTGATTTCTTTTTTGAATTTATCTAAATTGATAGAGACGAACTAACATTCACTCACTTATGATCTACATCGTCTTTCCCGTGAAATAAAGAATCCTGGATTTGCAGTACTTGGGCTTGCAACAGGCACCATTGTGTTGATTTTAGGAATTTTCCACTTAACCTATTGACTTCGTAAATCAGTAACTAATTGTGCTGTTACCATTTCTTACAATGGAAAACAATTAATTTGGGGCACAGTGATGTGGAAGTTCACAACATCTACATACACAAATATAGAGATATAAACTCTGGAAGAAGTAATTTTTATATGTTTATTAAAGCTACAATGATATCCTTCCTTCCAACCATGCTCGTTGCATTTGGGGCTTTAGGCTCATTCTGATTGATTACTGGTCGCCCAATTTCATAGTATCAGAAAAATTTAAAGCTACTTAATGACTGGTTACTCCAATAACTTTGAAGTGTTTTTCTAGACTTCGTTGCAAATCATCCAGCTTAGTTCATTCAAATGTCAGAAATGTTCATTGCTGGCAGCAGGTGTTAGTCAAAATAGGTCTTGTATTACACCCTGGTAGAGCGCTTCAAAATCCCAGAACAGAAAATGTACACAAATATACTACAATAACAGGCTCCTTATTGAAGATTGGTGTTTTACACTCACTTCCTTTTGCAAATATATGAGGAAAGTGGGTGGGCACACGAGCCCGGGCCATGGTTGTGAAGTTCCTAAGGATCCAGAGGCACCGATTAGTTGGAAAGTTACCTACATGTGATGGCTGTTGGGGAGGAATGCTGCAATGTGATGCAAAACCTGGAATGTAGTTGTTTTTTATCCAAATAGGGGCAAATAAAGAATTGAGGGAAAATGTAGAATGAAACTGTTTATCAGAACTCTTCCAGTAGCTGGCTGATTAGCTGTATTTTCGTTTTTGTTTGCAATTTCTAAACCTCAATGCTCAATGATTTCTGGCTAGAATTTTCCTTGTGTGCCTTTTATTAACTGAATTATTTTATCATTGAATAAACCAGGCAATAGTCAACTGTGTTTCCCCCACTTTCTTGTGGAAAGCCTCTTGCTAAATTAACATTTCAAAACGTGGATGAAACAGCATCTTTTGTCTTCTGTCTCAGCTAGGAAGATTATTATCCATATATTGGGTAAGGCGCATGATGTCAGAAAATGTGCAGGATATGTCAGATGATTTCTGGCTTTGCTTGCAGTACAATTCTGGCAGGATAGGACTTCAAAGTTTGAGTAGATTTGTAGCTTGAGTTGTGGAGCTCTGGCATGTCTCTGTTTGGCTTGTGCGATTATCGATGTGTTGTCCCAGTGGAATTCATGCCTCTCATTGACCAATACAGACAACGCCAGGGAATTCTTGGAGGCCTGGTATTTAAACCGAACTCCATCAACAAACACATTGAATTAGACCCTGTGTACAAACCACAGAGAAACAAAACTGGAAGTAGTACCAAACACCCCGACAAACTGGGGCATATAAATAACAGGTGGGACCAAACACTGAAGCTTTACCGGAGGCGCACTGACAATGTTACCGAGCAGGGTGACGAAACGTTTGCAACCAAACCCACGGGCTTGGCGAGCATGTCTCCAACCTCAGGATAGGACTGCCCCTGTTCCTGAGATGCCTCATTGGCCCAGTCCATTCCAACACTCAATACCTGCTTACTATTTACATGCATTGGTAGAAGGTTTTTGGGATCACTTGTGTTTTGATCACTCCACCTTCATTGTCTCCTTACTTTGCTTATTATTCTCTTTCTCTCTCATCCTATTATAATTGACTTGCTTCTTACATGAAGAATTCATTTAACATGCATCACAATCTCTTTTTTTTTCATTGTAATCTCTATCTCTCGTTATTAAAGGAGCTCTGTTTTTGGCTTCCTTACCTTTTGTAGTTTTTGGAATGTAATATCTTTCTTAAAGATCACCAGTTGTTCTATTTCAGCCTGTTCGGTTAGTCACTGGTTCAAATTTTACCTTGGCTCGATCTCTTCATATTGCATTACAATTAGCCCTCTTAAAATTTAAAATCCTGTATTAGATTGTCCTTTGCTCCTCTCCATTCTATTCTAAATCTTAAGATGTGATGATCTCTCTTACCCTAACCTTTCCCTGGTCCACCTCATTTCCCAGCACCAGATCCAACAACACTTTCCAAGACAAAATACTGAACATACTGATCATAGGGAGTTAAAACAAATAACTGGATGCTACAGATCTAAAACAAACAACAACTAAAATTGAAACAAAAACAGAAAAAAAAAAGTGCTGGCAGATCTGCTGAGTTTCTCCAGAAATTTCTGTTTTTGTATGATACTGATCAAGGTGGTTCTCCTGAACACACAGTTCATTACTTGCTCTTGAAACTGGTGTTGAATTTCAAAATTGAGGCCAGTGATTCTCGTTTGGACAGTTTCAACTCCATGGTCTGTGCAAGACCACAGTATAATTCGGCATTGACTTACAATCTCAGGCGTGACAGACTACAGAAGTGGATAGATGGAAGAATGAAAAATTCTACACAATCACTAGGGAGAGTCCTTTTTGGAGTAGTGATTACTTCATTCTCAGCACAAAATGGTACTTTCAAAACAGGTCCCAAAATCTCCAGTCTGCACTGACTCTCTGTGATCCTGTTTCTTTCAGATGATCTTCCCAAGAGTACAGTTAGATATTACTTCCACGTGGTGTGCTTGGAGTCTAACTACTTGTTTAGATGGGTAGAATATTAAATTCTACTTTTGAACTCTATCTAAACATCTGAATTTTTGATGGATATCAGATTTTAAGTTTTCTGTTTGTTATCCAGAAAATATATTTTATATTCATTATAGCTACATTGATTATCTTAAATGATTAGAATCAATTCAAAAGTTAACACACCACTCTTTGACAGAATATTTGGGAGGAAGTGACAACTCTTTTTCCTGGGTAGTAAAAGACTAAAAATTCCCATGTGCTTGGATCTAGGCCCTTTCTCACATATTTTGTACACAGTAGCACCTGTGGGTCGAAAATGTACAGTAAATGGAAATGATTCTGTTGGATTAATCAGTTGGTCTTTTCCTGCCTGACATTTCAGAGTGAAAGTACGTGCAGAGAATGTAGGCAAAAATTTCATTTAAGAACATAAAGTTAATCCAGAGGATGTTGGCAATGCCTATAAGGCTGATGTTTCACGTTCATCCTCATTTTACTTTGAGATGTTGGTGACAAGCCGCCTTCTTGAACCAGTGCTGCACTTTGTGGTAATGGCTTGGAAGAGGAGGTTTGCTAGGTCACATCTTGGGCAATTAAGCATTAGCCACATTGATTTGGGTCTGGAGTCACATATGGTCAGATCAGGCAAAGACATCGGATCTCCTTCCTTTAGTGATCTAAATGGTTTCTTATGCCAATCTGGTAGTTTCAAGGTCACCATTACTGATTTGATTCTCAATTCCCTTAACTGACTGAATTTAAATTGCCTAGTTACAGTAGTAGGACATGAACTTGTATGTACTTGGGTTACTAGCCAACTAACATACACATCACTAGAGTATCTTGATATACCTGTGATCCACAGGATCTTCCATGATAGAACTTTCTTTTTTTCCACTTAAGTTGATCCCTACAGACTGCACTGGATTTTCTAACCAATACACAGGAAATCTTGCAGTATCCAAGGGAACAGATAAAGAACATGTTCTATTAAGGATATTATCCCATGATGGATTAAAACAGAGGTCTTGATACTCCTGTGTTATTCAGCAGCTTTTGCAGGAGCTATACCAAATCACACTAACTTAGAAAGTAAGCCATGCATGACTACTTTGTGCCCAGCTGTTGATTCTAATCCATCACATTTTCCTATTAATACCAATGTTAAACTACAATGTCTGGTTAAAGATTTACCTCTATGCAGCAGCTTTTTAAGAAATCAGTCACAGAACGTTTGATGGCTATATTCCATTACTATATCCTTAAATTATCATATGACATAACTTTCATAACTCCTTTAACAAACTTGTGTTGATTATAGTGAAATCATAGTACACAGGAAGTAGCCATTTAATATACCACATTTTGGGCCATTGCCCTGTACTGTGGATGGGAATACATTTCACAGCTACACCGATTTAACTGGATGCTATGCTGACAATTGTATATATTTGCTTATTTGATCAAAATGCACAAGTCAGGTTGTTAGCTTGCTCTCTCTCCATGGATGCTATTTGACCCACTGTAATTTCCAGCATTTTTTGTTTTCAGTACAGATTCCAGCATCTGCAGTAATTTGTTCCTACACTGAAGTACACACTTGATGTATTCAGCAAATCAGTAGCAGTGGGAATGGAAAACTCCATTCAAAAAAAATTTGAAACAATGTAGGCAAGGTGCCAGAAAAACAAAAATGTGCTGCTTTAAGTTTTATAAAATACCCATTGGGGATTTCCAACATTAGATGCTTTAAGCAAAGCTGATAAAATTGAAGAGTGGCATTAATCAGGTCATTGAAAGTGCAGCCCCACTTTGTTTCTCTTGTTTGATGACTGTTGGAATGAAATAGGTGCAACATAAGATTCTGCCATCTTTTTACTACTTCACAGGTCAATATTGCAGCATTATCACAAGGAGGTGCAAATAAACAGCACCCCAATGATGATTTGTCATTGACTGACCCAGTTTTATCCAGGTTGCAGGGTAGCATCTAGGTGGGAAGTGTGCCCTGTAAACCAGAAGAGCACCTACTAGGCCCAAAAACCAAATGGGGCAACTTAAATGTACTCTGGAAGCAGGGCAGGATCTGAGGTTGAAATTAGCAAATCAGGAATTAAACCGAGAAACAAAGTGGCTCTTTCCCAGAGTTGAGGGTATTTAGCTACAGATTTGGGTTGGAGAAGCTGGAGTTGTTCTCCTAGAAGCAAAAGGAGAATGAGGGGGAGATTTAGAGATGCAAGAAATGTCAGGTTTAGGTATGGTAGAT